CTCCTCCTTCATTGCCTATAACCACTTTTTCCCCCCTCCCTCATTGCTCATTGCCTACAACCCCTCCCCTCCCACATTGCCTACAACTCCTCCCCTCCCTCATTGCCTACAACCTCTCCCCTCCCTCATTGCCTACCACTCCTTTCCTCCCTCATTGCCCACCCCCCCCCTCTCTCTCTCTTCCCCTCCTTTCCTCTGCCTCTGTTTAATAGTCAATACTGTGGTGTAAATTTATGTAGTTAGATTCAATAAATTGCAGCTTTGTCTTGTGAAATCTTCTTGTGAAATCTAAAGATACATCTCCAAATTATATATCCTGGATATATTCTGTAATTATGGGCAAGGATGACATATATTCATGATCCTGTTCATGATATAGATAAAAAATATCCTGGTTCAAGATATAGTTGAAAGATATATCCTGGTTCAGGATATAGTTCAAAAATATATCTTGATCAGAATGTAGTTGGAAAATATAGGATATAGTTGAAAAATAATGTATGTTGATTCAAGATATAGTTGAAATATATATCTTGGTTCAGGATTTAGAGGAAATATATAACATATATGTAGTTGAAAAATATATCCTGGTTCAGAATGTAGTTGGAAAATCCAAGATATAGTTGAAAAATAATGTATCTTAATTCAGGATAAAGTTGATAAATATATCTTGGTTCAGGGTATAATTGAAATATTCAGGATACAATTGAGAAATAATGTATCTGGGGTGGGATGTTGATTTTCCAGACACAACATTAGGGTGTTTCACAGTAGGCCAACTGGCAACGAACTTTTGCAAAGTTAGAAGGACAAAGTTTGGCCAACTTCATCAAGTTGGGATCCAAATTGTGGTCCCGATGCCAATTCAGAGCCAACTTTGATCCCAACTTCACCTCTCAACTTCTCATGTGTCTAAAATAGGCAAAAATCTGCACTCGGAAGTGATTTCAAGCACAAATAAGCCCAACTTCATGTTTTCAGCAGTTCCAGGTGTTTCACAGTAGAGTTGGCCAACTTTCCCATCAAATTTGTTGAAGTTGGCCCACAAGTTTGGATCAAAGTTGAAAGCAAAGTTGGCCTACTGTGAAACACCCTATTGGAGAGGAAAGCTGGTAAGTTGGTTGTTGTATTTGGAAGTGTTCCTCTTGCTAAACTAAAGTGATGGAGTTGTTTGGGGTGGGATGTCAATTTGCCAGACACATCGGCATTGGATGTCAAAAGTTCTCTAATGCAGACTGTATCCATAGTGTCATTTGAAGTGGATAAGAAGGGAACCATATAAAATACAAAGAAGAACCCCATATTATGACATGGTGAACAGAATTTGTTAGAGGAGAATGGAATTTGTTGTCCATAAATTTACAATCAAGAGTCAAGGGAAAGAGAAAGAGAGAGAGGAGGAGAGGGAGAGGAATGAGAAAGAGAGAAACAACAAAGTACTTTGTCAACTCTGACAAGCTAAAAAATTGTATAATGTGAACTGTATTCATAGTGTCATTTGAAGTGGATGATAGTTAGGCAACTCAGATGTTATGGAAGGGGGTGTGGCAAAATAGCTTCAATATAGCAGCATGGTGCTGTATTAAGAACAATTCCATATGTTTCTGAACTTGTTGACGAAGAAGCACTCATATGACACCACCAAGTCCCCACCTGAGGTAGAAGTCAATCATAAGTCGACAAGAAAGTATCACCCTCTTCCGAAACAAGCAGAAGTCAAATGTTCAAGATGGGATGTCAGTTTGCCAAACAGATCAGCATAGAGATGCTATTGATGCTCCTTATTGCTACCTACATACTGGGAGCACAAGCCAAACATAGTGCCAAAACCCCTGGAAGCCATGGCAGAAACTTCCAGAATATATACCCCAGACAGCAAAAAATCACAAGCTTTTTTGCTAAAACTAAGACCCCTGACACCACTACAGACCAGAAAAATATATCCTTACCACATCTGTATCACAAAATATATCCTAAGGCCAAGCCAGGGCAAAAATATATTTCTAAGGTGTGACAGTGACATTTCAGGGTCCACTCACCAAAAATATATCCTTACTGCATTTCACTTGCAAAATATATTTTGGTGGTGTGACACAGACATTATAATTTTTGTGTGACATTTCAGGGTCCATGTGTCAAAAATATATTTTAGATTTCAGGGCTTTCTAGGACCCATATATATCTAGAATATAGATATGGTCCATGACATTTAGTCATGTAACTTACGTGGAGTTTGCATGACTAATAGTCAGTTGGGACTGGGTGACTGAAGTGAAAAGTCCTGAACCAAGATGTATTTTTCAATCATATCATGAATACAAATACATAATTTCTGAACCATATTATAAATATTTTAATTAGATGCCGAACCAACATATATCTTTCCACTTTATCTTGCCAAGGATATATTCACAAGACATATCTTTCAATTATATCCTGACTCAGGATATATCTTCTATATTTTTTCAAAGTAAATATATATCTTCACCACATATCAACTCACCTTTCCAGAAGATACTTTCAGAAAATAGCAGTAGAACTCAGGAGTATCTTGGACTTGTCTAGGGGCAGAAAATTGAAATCAATGAATGATAGTCCATTTCTTCACATGCTATTCAATCCAGTACATTCCAACTATTGCATGTAACTATTACGGAACTCATCAGAAAGTGCTACCATTTCAACAGCTTCAAGCAACTCCTGCTCTTCACCATCATCCTCTTGGTCTTCATCATCATCACTCTCATCCTCTCCCTCATCATCAATCTCATTCTCTATTGTCATTTCAGATGATTCCCAGCTTCGGGCCAGCGCAAGTTCCTCAATCGTTGGACCGAGGTCTTTATTGTCCTCCACTGATTCCTGCCGGAATCCGGCGGAATCCGGGGAATTCCTGGAATTCCGGAGGAATCAACTTTGGCAGAGGGCCCTGCCAAATTGATCAAACAATTCCGCGGAATTTTGAATGGAATTCAAATTCCGCCGGAATGATTCCGGTGATCACCCGGAAGGAATGCTCACGGAACGAGACCGGAACGGAATTCCTGATGCCCAAATCAAATGTCGGCGTTTGCCGACGTTTGATTTGGACATCATCAACAAACAACGCCATCTCTTTCAACCACCACCACCATCACCGACGCCTACACACCACGTCGCCAACGTCCACCACCACGCACACCAGCCACGATGAGACAACGACGACGGCCACGATATGGGAGACGACGCCTTGACGCCACATCAACAACCCCAGTAAACGAGTGCGGCAACACGTTGCCACGTCGCTATCAGCGACGTGGCAACCAGACGACGAACGACGAAATCGTCGTTCGTCGTCCTAGGTGAGCACCCCCCAAACTCGTCCCAACCCAGCTCGCTAACACCACGCCCACGACGAGGGACGGACAGCACGCCAGCGCACCACCACGCCAACACACGACCACCACGACCATGCCCATGGACGACCCGCCACACCACATCAACGGACCGCCACCACGTCAACGGACGACGCCCACATTAACGGACGACGACGACCACGTCAGCGGACGACGACACCCACGTCAACGGACGACGAGCACATCAGCGGAGGACGACGACGCCCACATCAACAGACGACGACGACGACGTCAGCGGACGACGACAACAACCACGCCAGCGGACGACGACGACGACCACGTCAGCGGACGACGACGACGACCATGTCAGCGGACGACGACGACCCACCCTCTTCCCTGTCCCTCCTTTCCCTCCTCCCCTCCCTTTTCTCTCCCCCTCCCTTTTCTCTCCCCCTCCCTTTTCTCTCCCCCTCCCTTTTCTCTCCCCCTCCCTTTTCTCTCCCCCTCCCTTTTCTCTCCCCCTCCCTTTTCTCTCCCCCTCCCTTTTCTCTCCCCCTCCCTTTTCTCTCCCCCTCCCTTTTCTCTCCCCCTCCCTTTTCTCTCCCCCTTCCTTGTCCATCCCCCCTTCCCTTTCTCTGT